GGTGGGGGGAGTGAATGTACAGCGCTCTCTCCCACCTTCAATACCACGACTGAGGTGCCCCTGAGCAAGGCACCGAACCCCCAACTGCTCCCCGGGCACCGCAGCAAAAAATGGCTGCCCACTGCTCCGGGTGTGTGTTCACGGTGTGTGTGTGTTCACTGCTGTGTGTGTGCACTTTGGATGGGATAAATGCAGAGCACTAATTCCAAGTATGGGTCACCATACTTGGCCACATGTCACTTCACTTAACTTCACATAAAATAAAATAAAAATAATAATAATAATATAAATAAATAAAATGTGTGTATTAGCTAGACTTTTTTTTTTACACAAAAAAATCCTTTTATACAAAAATAAAATCCTTGCCAAACAATTACTGTAATAACATGACAACAACAGTTAAACAAAAGAAAGAATAACAACAGTACATTTCAGCTCACATAAAAAAAAAAGTAAAGCAAAAAAAAAAAAAAAGTATTAGCAAAACTTAAAAAAACAAAAATCCATGGTCAGTTTTTAAAATATACTGCTACATAAAAGAAATGAAAATTGTACAAACAACTGATAAAATGACAACACATTATTGACACTGAAGAGTCACAATGAACTCCTAATACTCTTATTGTACCTTTATAACAGATAAAAACACACAGAACAGATCAATGTCTGCAGGTTTCTGTATTTCCATAATGCATTAATGTACAATTTGGTTGCCAGATCCTCTGTTAATATTACCCACACTGCAATAGGCAGTGAGAAACTTACCTGATTCGGACGGTGGTGGGAAGTTGACATCAAAGCCCTCTGGCAACTCAATGCACGTGAGGAAGCGGACGTGTCCGGTGTGTCCGTGGGCGGAGCCCATGGGGAGGAGGGGAGCACGCAGAGAGCCCAGCCCAGTGGAGGACACTGGTGGGATGGCCAGAGTCAGGACCACCCCTGCACTGGTGCCGATCCACAGCAGGTCCTTACACGCCAGAAGAGCCGTGATCCGCAAACACGCTGCTTTGTGCTGCCGGATAATGGCATCAGAGCCTAAAAGAAAAAAAAATGAGACAGGGATTTTATGAAAGCAGTGTTATTTTAGTACCACTGATATACTTTTATAGCTCAAACAACAAGCATTTTTAATGAAATGTGTAACTACTAACTTGCATATATATATCAGTGTTAATATTATTTGTATACTATTATAGTATTTATCAATATTTTAACTTTTTCTATTTTCTGTTTTTATTTTAGTTGTTAAAAAAATTTTTTTTTTTTAAATTTAAATATGGCTACAGTTTTTTTAAAAACATTTTTCTACACCTTTGCATATTGTAAATTAAATTAAATATTTGTAATACTTCCTTTTGTCATTAAAATGAAACTTTTGACATTTGAATTTTTGTGTTATTTTGATAACTGCATTAAAGTGATACATATATAATACATATAAAATCTTCATTCCTACTTTTGGGTAAAAACTAAGTGATGGAAAGTTTTTACACAAAATAGTGATAGTTTTGAATTCAGCGTCATCAGATTAGATAATACTAGGCCTGTTTTGCTAATCAGCAGGCTTTTTTTCAAGATGCAGGACTGTGTTATTAATGCACACTAAACAGTACCTGCAAGCATCTTGTGCACGGCTGGTGCCACGTCGACCTCCGTCAGGCTCTCGTAGGTGGAGGCGTGATAAAGCCGCACCTGAGCACTGCCCTGTAGAGCGATCCACACGCCTTTACCATAGCTCACCATACTGGTCACGCAGCGCCCACTGTCCTGACCCACCTGGAGTGAGTGCTGAAGACGACATTAAAACACATCATGTCAAAATTGCAAAAATGATTCAAGTGCATGAATGTCTATTGCTGTTCGTGAATGTGATGACAAGTGTATATATCGTTTGGTTATAATTGTCATATTTTAAACTTTTAATCTGCTGATGCCAATTGTCAAGTCACATTTATTTTTATTTTACATTTTATACAATACAGATTGTTCCAAAGCAGCTTCAAAGTAATAAAAAGGAAAACAACAGTTTTAATGTTGCAAAATTAATCAGTCATGAAACTAATTCAATTTAAGCTTTAAAGCAGCTCTACAGAAGACAAGTGTCATTATTTCGCACACATTTTTGCTTCATTTCAGTTCAGTAAGTGTGTCACTGTTGCAAAGTCATTCAATTATAAAACAAATTTGATTTCAGCTGTAAAGCAGCTCTATAAAATACAGTTGTGACATCATTCAGCTCAATTCAGATTGAATGTTGATTCAATTAATTTCAATATCTGTGTGGATGTTGCAAAGTTAGTGTCATTATTTAGTTAAAATGTTATTCTTATCTGATGATGTTAGTGCAGGTAAATCTATAATATTACTGAATATTAATTATCTTTTAACCCTTGTGTCAATTTTGACCCAAAGTTGATTTTCTTTTTTCTGAAAAAAATGTTATCGTATTGGACTAAAACTTACTGACTTTGCTCACAAAGGGTATAACAACTTCTCATATAAGTGCTGATAATTTTCACAATTATCACAAATTACCTACAAAAATTACCTATTTTTCAAATGCTATATTATTACCAGATATTGGATTCAATTTTCTGTGAACTTTTTTCCAATTAGCACAGGTTTTGTATTTATTTTTAGAATTGATTGATCATAGGCCTCACTGATCAGAGCTTATGCATCTCAGTTTTTGAGTGAATATTGTCAAAATTATCCACAAATAACGATTTTTTTCACTCAAAACTCAGATCAATGGATCTTATGATCAATCAGTTCCAAAAAGGAATCCAAACCTGTGCTAACTTAAATAAAACAAGGTGACAAAAAAATTCAATCAAAGATTTGCTAAAAATTATAGCATAATGAGAGATTTACAAGCAATTTTTAAAAAGCCGGTCATTTTTGATCAAGAACACTAAATCAGGTAAAGTATTTTCAGCAAAAATGTCTTTTTCCCCCAGACTTCATCTGCATGTAGTTTGCGTCTGACCTCTTGTGCTAAAGTGCTGGTGTTGATGATGAGGACTCGGTTCTGACAGCCACACCACAGTTTTCCCGCCACAGGAACCATTTTGGTCACGGGTCCGCTTGGAGAGCCCAGACACAGCGTTTGAGAGCTCTGAGGATCCCAGAAACTTCCTGTTGTGCAGAAAAAGCACAGAGAGTTGGTGAAAATCGCTTTTATTGGTTGTAAATGAATCATTTGGAATGGATCTGAGCTCACCTGCTTCCCTCTGATAAACAATCACCTCCCCGTTTGCCAGGGACACGAACACTTTGTTGTCAAGATACCTGGGAATAAAAAAAGACGTTCAGCCTCCATGCCGACGTTGCATAAGTTACCATGGTAACAGATCAATGAGGCGGAAGCTGCTTACAGGATACACAAGATAGAGGCAGAGTGCTGCATCTTCATACTGTTCTTCCGGTTTCTGATGTTGTCTGATGACTGGTACACATGAATACTGAAATAGAACAGTTATTATTACAACATGATTATGCTTATGAAATACATAATTTTTTTCTTGTGTGTTTACTGGTAATCACGAACTTAAGTTACACTAATGTTCAAAAGTCTGGGGTCAGTTTTTTATGTTTTTGAAAGTCTCTTATGCTCACTAAGGCTGCAATTATTTGATTAATAATACAATAAAAAAAAGTGAAATATTATTACAATTCAAAATAACTGTTTTCTATTTGAATATATTGTAAAATGTAATTTATTCCTGTGATGCGCAGCTGTATTTTCAGCATCATTACTCCAGTCTTCAGTGTCACATGATCTTCAGAAATCATTCTAATGTGCTGATTTGCTGCTCAAGAAACATTTATGATTTTACTGTCACTCATGATCAATTTTATGAATTCTTGCTGAATATAAAATATTACCGACCCCAAACACTTAAACGGTAGTGTATTTGGTAACACTTTACTTGATCTTTCTATATATAATGAATTATAAAACGTGTTGTTAATTTGGGTTGGGATTTCAGAATCAGTTTGTTAACATTGACTTGAATAGAAATGAATTGGCCCAAAAGACATTCATACTTCCGTCTTACTCACAATACGGACACATGATCAACACCTGCGTAATGTCTTGATTTCAATGCATTTTAAAGGTATGCATTACAAAGGATTTTAACTGTAACTAGAACTATTTACGAAATAACAATGCAATAATATTATTAGAAATTAAAATGCATTATATATTCAGCCATCAAATCAAATGCTCTCCAAGACATCTGACTTGTTTTGTTTGTTTTGACTCTCAACTGGCAGTGAGGCAAGAGCAAATGCTGAGAGAGAGAGTAAATGTTTGCATGGAAAGTGACAGGATGCACTGAGGACACGGGCAGGTCTGAGCTTGAGATAATGAGAGTCTCTGTGGGAACGTGGTAAACGGGTGTACTGTAGTCAGATCAGGGTCACCTGAGGTGAGAATTAAACCCCAAACAGAAGGAGCAGCAGGGGGGTGTTTTGCACAGTAAAATGTGATTACATCATTGCGTGTTACTATCGTTCATTTTTTAATTAGGCCCATGGGCTTTAAATGCTGTCTAAACACAAGTTTGAACACTTATAATAACTACCAATAAGTACATTAACAAACATTATCACATTATATAACAGATCATTAATTTTTCATTCAAACAGTCAGAACTGTCATGAAAACGAATTTTCATTTTTGACTGATATAAATGTATTTTTCAGTATTTTTACTTAATTTTTTGATAAATGTTTACACACACACACAAACACACACACAATAAGCATTTTAAT